TCAGCGATGACGAACCTGAATTAAGTATTATTCTTCAAACAACTTTTCAGCAGTCAAGAGGTATTAATTATACACATGGTGCTTTACATCCATGTAATGATTATAATTTATTATTATTTTTTTCATACTAATTTTATTTTATTGTGACAAAATCATTATAACATGAATAAATATGTTTTAGGCCGCGAGCTACCATCACGAGCCACGACAAAACGAAATGATACAAGTACTGTACGTGGTATGAGCACAAATGTTGTTGTTGATCTTACGCATTGAGAGGAAGTTCAACAGACTTCATTTTTACCAAAACGTGGTCGTCCTAAGAAAAATCATGGATCAACTTCAAGAAATAAAGGTTGTTTTTTCTTTACTATATTTACTTTTATATATATAATTTATATATATAATTCAATCACGTTGCGGTTGATTGACTAAATTCATTTTATAATTATATACATGGTGCTCTACATCCATGTAATGATTATAATTTATTATTTTTATTTTTTTCATAGTAATTTTATTTTATTGTGACAAAATCATTATAACATGAATAAATATGTTTTAGGCCGCGAGCTACCATCAGGAGCCACGACAAAACGGAATGATACAAGTTCTCTACGTAGTACGAGCACAAATGTTGTTGTTGATCTTACGCATAGAGAGGAAGTTCAACAGACTTCATTTTTACCAAAACGTGGTCGTCCTAAGAAAAATCATGGATCAACTTCAAAAAATAAAGGTTGTCTTTTCTTTACTATATTTACTTTTATATATATAATTTATATATATAATTCAATCACGTTGCGGTTGATTGACTAAATTCCTTTTATAATGTTTTGCAGAATATTGGAATATGGGGGATGCTATATTGAATTGCCAATATCGTGGAGCACTTTTTTGGGTAGCTGAGAAGGAAAAAACTCAAAAAGTTAGAGGAATACTAGATTATAGTGGTTATTGCCAAAATGGGATTGTTGAACTCCCGATTCTGAAAGATCCACCCAGTTTTCTGAATGAAATGCTCTTTGAAGATAGTCCTAGAAGCAGACATTTTCAAGATAACATAAGATCTTACAATAGCATGTTTGCCTTTACATCATTTGGTGGAAAGGTTGATGGATCTATTAATAGGGATACTGGGCCACCTGTGTTTTCCCTGCATGGACAAAACTATCATCTTATGGGTAGTTTGCTTTCTTCCGAAGGTTCAACTCCAAAGTTCGCACAATTGTATATATACGATACCGAAAACGAAATTTCAAATAGAATCAATGCTGTGAGGTTTGTAATTTTTTCTTCAATATATCAATTATAAGACCTAATTTTATTAATTGTATCAACTTATTTAATTTTGTTTATATGCAGGCAAAGAGATGGTGATAACAACTTGCACGAGGATATAGTCGTTGGCTTGAAGGAAATGTTAGACGACCATAACGAGCTGGTTAAGTCATTTCATATGGCTCGAGACAGAATCCAGAATCATGGTCAGACTGATGTTAGAATCCGTCTAATAGGAAAGAGAGACAAAGACGGCAGACGATATAATTTACCCGCAAGCTCTGAAGTTGCTTCGTTGATTGTTGGTGATTTTGATCAGTCTCTTGGTGAAAGGGATATTTTAGTTGAATCGAAGAGTGGACGTCTGCAACGGATAAACGAACTAAATGTTTCGTATCTGGCTTTACAATATCCACTGTTATTGCCTTACGGAGAGGATGGCTATAGGGAAAATATTCCATTTTCTGATATTAAAGTGGAGACTGAAGATGGTAGAAATCACGTTAGTTGTAGGGAATATTTTGCAAATCGTATGCATGATCGGGATTGTGAGCCACGAACAATTCTTTCAGCTAGAAGGCTATTTCAACAATTTGTAGTTGATGCTTATACAATGGTTGAAGCATCGAGGTTGCGATATATTTGTTTTAATCAGAAAAAGCTTCGTTGTGATATGTATAAGGGTCTTGCTGATATTGTGTTGCGTGGCGATACCGATCCCAGTTCTCGAGGAAAGCGTATTATTCTCCTTTCTACATTCATTGGTG